CCACAGCTCAGTAGGGACATAAACTTTTTTACATGAAATTGATATAATTAAATTAAATGACGAACAATTACCCCGCCAAATATCACATTATTAATAATAATGCATGAATGAGCTTCAATTCTAATTCCCGTTAATTCATATAACTGGACAAGCAGACCTGCACGTCCCATACCATGCTTATACCACTTGGTCCCGGATGCCGTCCCATAATTCCCCTTTTGTTAGTCATCTTGCCTAACTCCCTTTCGCCAGTCCCGAATCACCCAATAAAAACAATGTGCACTGTGGGATCCCTGAGACCTGGTACCTGCCAAGAGTTAGACTCAACTACACAAAAGACTATATCCATTACCCTATTTTCCACCATTGTTTTCTCAATCCAATAACTCCAGCCAATTTCCATGACATTATATATGCACAACAATGTAGCAATTTAAAACATCACCAATGCATATATACTTATGCCAACATTGTTCAAATAGTTAAGAGAATATAAACACCCAATACAAGGAACGTCAATCAAACAGTACCACGTATAATGTAATGCTCACAGAATTTAATTAAATCAATCTCTGAAAAAGGCCCCCAGAAACCCCTACCTCGTTTCCAAAGCTAGCTCCAAGCTAAGAAAACACACAAGCTACGACCTCTAATTTCTCCTGAGAATTTGATCACCACTTGCTTTCTCTTGTTTTCCTTCTTTTTTTCTATATCTCACTCTCTTTATTTCTCTCAAGCACAGCTATGCATGAAAACAACTAGTGATGACCCTATTTATACTAAGAAGATGGCGCCGCAGCTCTCCTATGCTTCCATTGGCTGCATGTTGATTTCATCAAATAAGGATAACTATTCCTACAATTACAACAACTCATGGATAACTATTTCTATAATTTCAACAGCTCAAGGTAATGTTTGCTTAGTCACAAGGACACCTGTAAGCCTTACTGTGCTGCAAGTAAGTGTAAATATCTAAGTTAATTATTTAATATGCAAGGAAATGTAAAGTTGCCCAAAAAATCCACGGTTCGGCCCAAATAAATTATCGGCCCAATGCAATACCTTACCGAGGAGAAGCCCGATTAGGGCACGCGAAAGTTCGTCATACGCACTTGCACACATGCCACGCCAAGCAAATAAGCAACACATCGCGCTACAAGCTTAAGTGGGCCCAAGCCACTCAAACGCCCGGGGCTTGCTTGAGTGGGTTGTGGTATGGATGGTAACAAGTTATCATGGGGCCCATCGATGGGTTGAGAAATGGAAGTCTCGACTCAGGCCCATTTTCTTAAGCCCAAACATGGGTAAGCACAAGGAAGGAGATGAACCATTGCCTCAACCAAAATAGCCCATTAACCCAATTAGAATAAACTAGCCAAAATAAGCCCATTGATCCAATTAGAACAAACTAACCAAAAAGCCCAACCTTTGACAAAGCCATCCCATCCATTGGATAGATCTTGTGGTTATCCCAAAAGCCAATATAATTAGGATAAAACCAACTCAAGCCCTGGCACTCAGTTTGGAGACAAAACCACAAAGGAACGTTAGTACAGCCACTTTCTTTCCTTCACCAGACTTGGCCATGGAAAGAGGAAGAAAGAGGAGGAAGAAGATGAGTGAAAAGGGGAAGCTCCCTTCTGAGGCAGCCGCTGGAAGAGGCTTGGAGCACCCAAAATCTCTGATTTTGGGGGATTGGACAAAGCTGACCTTGCCACCATGAGGTAAGTCAAGAAGGAAGAGAAGAAAAGAAGAAGAAAGCCTAGCTAAGTTAGGAAGAAACCATTAGGGTTTCTTGAAGAATAGCAAACCCCAGCAACTATAAATAGGGCCTCTTCTACCCAAACACAACCAACCCACAATCTTCAGAGAGCAAGCTTTCTCTCTCTTGCAAACCCAGCAAATTTTCGTGCTTTGCTAGCCCATTTCCCCCATCTCCCCTGCTTTGGCAAAATTGCTACAGCTCTGACAGAGTCACTGTCGAGCTGCCGGAAGCTACGAAAACCACCTAAAACTCTCTTCCTTAGAACCTCTCCTCTCTTCCATTAGAACCTCTAACCTTCATAGGAACCCACAAACTTTCTCTTTCCCAAAGTGCTAAACCCATGGTAATTTTGCTCTCATGCCACATGCCCCTCATGCCAAGCCTAAAAAATTTATCTATGAACGTGAAGAAATTATCTGTAAAATTGCTGTTGTTTTGTTGGAGAAGATAACCAAAATACTTCCTACGGCTTTGCTGTCCTTTCGAAGCATTTTGGGGCTTAATTTCGAACTCAAACAAAGGGGATAACTTCATCAGCCCAGCCCACTTGCTGCCGGAAGGAAAAAGTCCCTACATAAATTGGCGACTCTGCTGGGGATTAGGCCGATATCTTCACCAATACCTCCAAAGTCAAAGACCAGAAGCAATAAACTAGAGAAAATAAGGAGATAAGAACATTCCCTTTTTCTTGTTTGTTTTTTCCTCTTGTTGACTATCTACTTTGCATAAGAAACATAAATATAGATTACTCACATGCTCCATTTGTTTGTTAGATCCCCATTCTCAAGCAAAACAAGATCTTGTAAGAGGACTGGGGGCTTCAGCCAACGTGCAAGCCGCTGATCGTCGTCATCAATTGTTGAGGCTAGCTCTGCCATTCACCTCTCCACCATAATACATCATCAGAAAGTCTGGCCATCGCCATAAATCACCTTCGTAACAGCCTTCACCTCTCTAAAGTTGTGAAAACATAGAAGGAACACTTGCTCAATGCTGTCAGCCTCATCTCTGCGAATGGCTTCACCAAGATAAGATTTTTATTATCATGCCTTGTTGATCTCAATATAGCATATATATTTGTTTGTTGTTTTAATGCATTCATAAAATTTATGTTTCATTGAACAATCTCAAGCATAGACAAAAGCACGTGCATTCGGTTTGCTCAAGTCCAAAAAAAAAAGGATTGATTTATTAGTGGTTATTCATATGGTGCACCAGCTTGCATAATTTTCTTGTTATGTGTTAAACCACCTTTCAATTTTGCATCTCTAGCAAAATTTCCCATAGCCTTATTCCACGCACTATTCACTTATCTTATACTTCTTATCATTTCGTATCGATCCACCTTTGTGTTAATCAATCCAAGTTACACATTGCAATGTAGATGCCAACTATGCATGCTTAGTACTAAAATCATACCAGCTCAACATGCTTATGTCAATTATGTTAGTCCTTTGCAAGCTACAATGCTTATATTATTTTTGTAATCACCATATGCTTTGGTTATGCAGCTTTATATTGGTCATGTGCAAATGACCCAAGCCTCCGAACAACAAAACAAATGCTCTCATGTTTCCTACACAACATCTCAACACACTACCATTATCATCCATTCCTTAGACAAAACTCTCTCTATACTTCCAGTCATAGAAGTTCAAGCACCACTGGAAAAGCCGCTGGAAGAGTGGCTGGAAGAAGAACAGAGCCAGTCGTTGAAATCCAAACACCACTGCTAGAAGAGCCGTTGCCAGAAGCACATGCTACCACCGAATCATGCCAAATTGTCACCATTGCAACAAATGGATATCCCAAGTTCATCATGCCATGCAATGACCCAAACAAATACTAAGAAGGCCACGTTGCAAGAGTTTTTGTAGCTTATGCCCATCAAATCCTTTTCTGATGATTATGGTTCACTTGGGGGCTGAGGAAGGAATTCATTGCAATCACCACAGCAGCAATTCCAAAACCCCTAATGAGCTTAAGAATCCATTATTACCAAAACCACTATCCCCAGACAAAAAATCTCCTTGAAATTCCAATTATGTCACTATGACCTCCAAGTTTGCCATCACTTGCCAAGAACTCAAGCTGTTGTAACCCAACACATTTGCTGCAGTGACCACATGCAAAGCTCAAGCTTCAATAGCCAAGCCCGAGCTTTTGGTTCATAAAACATGTTCACAACAGCTGCAACAAACAATACCGAAGTTGCCATAACTGATATGCTCCAGCACCTCAATCACTTTCTAAGCCTTGACCATTCCAATGACCAAGTTTAGGAGTCAAAACCAAAAGGCTATCGGGATGTCTCAATTGCCACAGTTCCATAATCAAGCATCATCAAGCCCCAAGCCTTAGTCAAGAAATCCAAGCACTATGCTTTACTCAAGAAGGAAAACATCTCGATTCATGACAAAAAAAAATAGACAAGCAAACTTTTCTTTACAAAATTAAGCCTTTCAGCAGTAACTATACCAAGCAAAGCCACTTAGATGGGATCCCGAACTGTCAACAAGCATCATGCCTAAGCAAAATAGCACAAGTCATGCAAAGCCAAGCTATTACAAAAAGGGCATGCAATTCTTGAGGTGCCGGAACAACGAAACCATTGTACCCTTTCGATGAGCAATTCAAAACTTCACGACATCCAGAAATTCTTACAGGAGCCTTTGTGAAAATCATGCATACAATGGCCTGACCCTTTTAAGGTGCGGCAAGAGGGTGCATTTTAGGCCAAATGAGTAGACAAGCCTTGCGAAAGTTTTAAAGAGCAATGCATCGAAGATTTAGCTCAAAGATCCTATCAAAATTTCGACAGCATATGCCTTGTTCTTAAGGCTAGCCAACCTGTCAGAAAGATTTCAAGAAGTTCACAAGAGCAAATTCTCCCAACCAAGCAATATATATATAGAAGATGTACGGATTACAACATGCCTCAAGCATTCAGAAATTAATGCAGGTTCCAGCGGTTCAATAGTACATTACAAAGTCATAACGACATAGTCGTTAGACTATCTGAAAAGTACACAGCCACCGCAAAAACAAAGTTACACATGTTGAAGATTTGTACATCCTATGGTATCAAGAAAGATGGAAGCTGTGCACTGAGCCAACTGACCCCAAGCCAAAGAAAACAACCTGTGAAATAAAAGGAGGCAGCACTGCCGGAAGGTGCAGGGCAGTGCCAGCAGTTATGTCGAATGTTCCGAGAAGAAGAGGAGTAGGAGGCAGCACTGCTGGAAGGTGCAGGGCAGTGCCAACAGCTATGTCGAATGTTCCGAGAAGAAGAGGAGTAGGAGGCAGCACTGCTGGAAGGTGCAAGGCATGCCGGCAGCTATGTCGGATGTTCCGAGAAGAGGAGGAGTAGGAGGCAGCACTGCTGGAAGGTGCAAGGCATGCCGGCAGCTATGTCGGATGTTTCGAGAAGAGGAGGAGTAGGAGGCAGCACTGCTGGAAGGAGTAGGGCATTGTCTACACCTGCATCGGATATCCCAAGAACATGGGGGGCTGCCGGAAACAAACCCGTCTTTATGCAGCACCTCGATATAGACGCAGGATCAATCACTGAAGCAGTTTCCGGCACTGGCTCTTCGCCTACTGCAACATCTTCACAAGCATTCTTAAGTAATGGAGGGGGCCTTCCCCTCTCTAATTTATCATCCAGAGAATAAAGGTGGTCACTAATAATTGATGACGGGTTAGTGGATGCCATGGCAAGTCTTGACAGGCGATGAATCCCTGCAAGAATTGCCAACAATGAATATGCTGAAAAATGGCAAAACATAAAGCTAGTTCTCTGTGTTAAAGCCAAGCAATCACCACACTAGCATGCAAGCCCTATGAACTTTACAGGCCAAGCAAAGCAAGCTATCTCATGCCAAGCGAAATGTATAAACAAAAAATATTTTCGAAGCATCATGCAATCTATTACTCGAGCTCATGACAAGCAAATTTCCCATTCCATGCTCAACCAATCATTCCAGCAGACCCATCATACACATGTTTATGTCTATCCCTATAAAGCCAAAAAATAAACCGCCACCCATGACCAAGCTCTAAGCTCATAGAAAAGAAACCAATCGTGCTTTCCTCAAGCTTGCAAACAGCCTCTGATCTTACATATTAATCATGCGGTTACAAGCATACGGTCTTGATGCATATAGTTCAACAACAATCAAGAAGGGGGTCAAGAACGTAGCACACACAAAATTGTACCTCAAGCATGACAAGTCAAGCTCATGCCAAAGGAAACGCTCAAGAAAATGCCCAAGCAACATGCAATTTACCCATGGCAAGAAAGAATTCTCATTGACAAGCAATTCCCATAAGCAAGAAAAATTCTCTCTCAAAAATGCAAAAAATTCAAGCATTGCAAAACATGCATTCTGTCAATTTCTATTTCCCACAACATAAACGAAGGTCCAAGGTTAATCAAGCATGTGTTCACAAGAAAAGTGAGCCTAGGCCAAACACCAGTCTATGCTCATTCCTGGAATATTCAAATTGGCAGAGTTACTTACCAAAGGATTAAAGCAGAAGTTCAAATATCCGAGTTAGAAGGCTGGAGGATTTGGAGGTTCCAGCAGCAAAAACGTCAAAGCTTCCGGCACTTGCCTTTCCCCTACCTGTGTCTGAGACGTATACACCTACATAGAAAAAGCGCATTGTGCAAGGTTCAGCCTTTTCACCAGCTAAAAAAGGGCCAACACATGATAAAAATGGGGAAGAAAAATGGAAAAAAGGAAAGGATGTGGTCCATACCAGGGATTTCTTTTTGCAATCCTTTAGCACTCTTCCAGCGGCTTGCAAAAGAAAGAAATCGAAAAGAAGAAAACCCAAAAAGCTGATGCAAGCCCTTCCTTGCTAGCACCCATGCCGTGAGTACCGTTGTTGCAACGATGACAAAATAGGTCAAAGGGGTTTGGTGCTTGGCTGCCAAAACGAAGAGCAAAACCCCACGAGGATGAAGAACTCAACAACTAGCTTGTTCTCTGTCTCATCCAAAGTCTCTCTGGTCAAACAATTCAAATCTTCCATAAGCCTTCATATCGCAAGACAAGGTGTGAGGAACCAAAATCTCACCTTCATACCATCAAGTTCCTAACAAATCAGTAAGAAGATGACATTTCTCATGCTTTGGAACCTCTCAATCAAGCCTGAAAAAGAAACAAGAGAGCACGTTGGCCAGATTAGATGCTGGAAGGGAACTCGTAAATAAAAAGGGGGCGCCGGAAGCATAATCGCTATTGAAGCATAATTTTTTCCAAAGACAAGTTGCAAAGGGCCAA